CCCTACACAGATTTTTATATTAAATCCTCATAAAACCACTTTGAGCGGTCGCCAGGTGGCATGGTGTTTAAGTGCACTGGACTCCCGCATGACCAACTGTGGTTCTCATTCCAAACCTAGGGACTTGCTTTCTCACTTTCTCTCTCTCTCTCTTTCTCTCTCTCTCTCCTTCTCTGGTCAAATTAAAATAAATAAATAAATAAAGTTAAATAAAATAATTTAGAGGAATTTAAACTTTTTAAAAAAACTTTTTAAAAAATCCACTTTGAGTTAGGTATTAATATACCCATTTTATAGGTGAAAAGTCTGAGACTAGAGAAGTTAAATATTAGGTCATCAGGAAAATCATGCATATTTTTCTATGCTGTTTTATTCAAAATGCATCATGACTTTCCTGACGACCCAATAAATACATTCAAAAATAGGCTATATATTTTTTCTGAGTTAGAGTTTGCATGATAATTTTTAAAGGATTATTTATGTATTTAATTCCATTTGTTATTATTATTTTTTAAATTTGACCAGAGAGAGAGAGAGAGAGAGAAAGGGAAAGTGAGAAAGCAAACAGCCAGGTCTGGGACTTGAACCATGGTCAGCCATGTGGAAATCCAGTGCTTTTAACCACGATGTCACCTGCCAGCCCTGGTATTTTTAAAAAGTTTTTGTTTGTTTGTTTGTTTTTAGGTTTTTGAAATAGGGTGTGTGTGCTTGCTGGAGAAAGACTGAGAGAGGGAAAGTGAGAAGTCATCCCCCGGGGGGAGGGGGATAGCCATAATCCCTTCTCCTCCATTCTTCTCCTGGGATTTTGAGCACACAGCACACGTGCCCAGCATGATTTGTAAGCCACTAGGTCCATGGCTTGAACTGTGGTGGGCCATGTAGGAGGAGTCCAACGCCTTAACCACCATGCTACCTGCTGGCTCCTTGCATGATAATTATTCTTTATGGAGAGATTTTTTGCTATATGGTGCATGTGCTCACTGGAGAGATAGAGAGAGAGACAGAAAGTGAGAAATCACCCCCCAGAGGGATGGCCATGCCACAATCCCTTGTCCTCTATTCTCTTCCGGGAACTTTGGGCATGCATGCACATGCACCTGGCATGAGTTCTAAGTCCCCGGGTCTGGCACTTGAATTGTGGTCAGCTATGTGAGAGTCCAGTGACATATCCATTTCACCATCTGCTGGTTCCTGCATGATAGTTTTTAAGACTAGAAAAATAATTTTAAAAATCTATTTCTTTAATTCCATTTGTTATCATTATTATTTTTCAATTTGACCAGAGAGAAAAGAGAGAGTGAGAGAAAGGGAAAGTGAGAAAGCAAGCCACCAGGTCCAGGACTCGAACCACGGTCGGCCATGTGGGAATCCAGCCCCTTTAACCACTACACTATCTGCTGGCCCCCAAAAGTAATTTTTTTAAAAAGAAGTATTTTTAAAATTTTATTTGTTATTATTACTTTTTTTTTTTTACATTGACCAGAGAGAGACAGAAAGAGAGAGAAGGAGAAAGTGTAAAAGCAAGTGCCAGGTCCAGGACTCGAACCACAGTTGGCCATGGGGGAGTCTAGCACTTGAACCATCATGCCACCTGCCAGCCCCTAGAAAAATAATTTTATATACAACTTAATATGATAATGTCAAAACCAGTTCCTCAACCAGGTAACATTGTATAGAGAACAATAATTTATATCACCTCTATTATATTACATATTACTAATGTATTATTTGCTTCTTATGAAACAATGAAGCAAACAATTGTTTCACCCTATATACTAGTTCATACTCTGCTAGGGATTATTTCAGTTTGTCCAGTTGTTAGCAATATTTTTCAATTCAACTTTTAAAATGTTGTTTATTTGGGCTGGCCCCATGGCCTAGTGATTAGGGAGCTAGATCCCACATGGCTGACCGCAGTTGGAGTCTTACCTCTGGTGGCCTGAGAAGCACATCAAGTGCCTGTACGTGTGTGTCTGAAAATCCTGACAGGATGGAGAAATGGAGGAAAAGGGATTGTGGTGTGGGCATACTCCATTGAGGGGTGTATTACTGTTCCCTTTCTATCTCTGTATCTCTGGCTCTCTTTGGTGAGTGTATGAGCTCTGTATCAAAACAAACAAACAAAAAAATATATGAGGGGCCAGCAGGTGGAATGGTGGTTAAGGCATTGTACTCCTACATGCCTGACCGCAGTGCGAATCCTGGACCTGGAGGCTTGCTTTTTCGCTTTTCCATTCTCACTTTCTCTGTCTCTCACTGGCCCAATTTACAAAAATAAATATAATAACAAATGGAATTAAGTTAAAAAATGATTATTTTAAAAATGATGCTACTTATTGAGACTGGCAGGTGGCATGGTGGTTAAGGGCGCTGGACTCCTACATGGCCCCCCACTGTTCGAACCCCAGATCTGATGGCTTGCTTCTCACTTTCTCTCTGTCTCTCTCATTCTGTCCCTCTCTGGTAAAATTAAAATAAATAAATAAAGTTAAAATAATTATTTTAAAAAAAGATGTCACTTATTTCTTATAGATGAAACACCTTCATTGATAAAACTAGAAGTAATAGAAAAGCAAAAATAAAAGAATATCACTCGTACTCCCACCACCTTACTGTAACTACTGGTAACATTTGGAGCAGACCCTTCCAGGCCTTTTCTTTTGGGAAAATATATTTATATGAATAGTCCCCCCACCCTCTTTTTTTCCCAAAAATGGGACAATTCTACTTTTACACACCTTT